CTGAAATAGAACACAGAGTACAGAAATCTGTTTGTCAGCTTAATGCTGTACTTAAAAAAAAAATCATTAGAACACCCTTTTTTCTTTTTACCTTGGCATGGCTGCAGTACATGAAAAAAAAATATTTCTTTAAAGCCATAATGTAACTTTTCAGTTAGAAAAGTATTTACCAGGAGATAGGGAATCAAAGTGAAATCATGTCCAATGAAATATCTGACTTCAAAAACGATTTATACAGCAAAATTATTTAACCAACTAGAAGCCTGGTTCTGTGGAAGGCTTTATTTATGTATGTATTTATTCATTTATTTTCATCCTAAGCAATTCAACTACCATTGCAGCTGTCCATAAATGAGGACCAGGCTTAGCTATTCTGTGCTTTCACAAGGTATTGTTAGGTCAGCAAAGCCATCAATTAGGCTGTCTGAAGTTTTATCACCAGCACAGCAGCAATAAGTGCTGGCCCAGAAAGAACTTCTGCTCTTCTGCAACTCCTGCAGTTTAAGCCTGTAAAGTCAAGGGTCATTTGGAGGTCAGTGCCAGTTGGGGGCGACCTTTTCAACCAAGACTGGGACACCCAGGGCAAAGAGCATAAGGCAACTTCCAACCATAAACTGGGGCACATTTCAACTTGATAAAAACAGGGAACTGCAGGTACATGTGTTTAATATTAAGCCTGAAATAACTTCTTCTCCAATCAGGTACCATAACTAAAGCAGCATCCGAGTCATCAGAAAGTTAGGTAAAGCCCATTATTTGGCAAGGGAAGCCTGGATTTAATTTTGTGGGTAATTCAAAAATAAATGCTTGCATATTTCCCCATTAAGTTAATACATAACAAACCACAACAGACAATCTTTTCAAACCAACCCCAGTAAAATGATTTTTAAAAAAAAATTATTTGAATTGCACAGCTTAGTTAAAGCCATTTTCTATCATTCATGTGTCACACTTGTTTTGATCTCTCTTGTTTATATGCCTGTCCTGTGTGCTCTTAGGACACTAGTTGTTACGTTCAGGTTTCATCTAGCATTTTGTCATTTAGATTCCAGCCTAGCAATTCCTACACAGTGCTAATAAAGATGAACACTACGTTTTAATTCACTTCTGAAATACTTAATATGTCTGTCTTTCAACACAACTTTTGTACTGCTCATTGGTTAAAGCTCTGATTCAGCTTTCACTGAAGTTAACAGAAATTCCAGTAAGCTTCTGATAAGGCTAGTAATTAATAAACATAAACTCATTTTACCAAGTCAGTACAGTTCCAGTACCCATAATTTCGGCATTAGTAACTGCATTTCTTCCAGAGGACTCAAAGTTCATTTCACTGCAATATACTATCTCAGGCAACTGTATGCTGGTGGGAATTTCAACTGGCAGATGATGTATATAGACTCCAAAGACTATATAGGCTATTTTGCATCTTTTTGTTTACACAAAGACATTGTTTATTATTTAACTACATTGCAGTTGTCAAAAATATTGTCCCTTATAATTAGTCAAAGGCAATGCCAGGCATTAAAGACTGCTTTTTATAGCCCATTTCTTTAAATAATAATGATTTCTGTCACTGTGGCCATATTCTTAACATAATACTGTAACTTCGAGACATATCTCTGTCCTCTAAGACAAAGGTCTTTGATAGACCTTAATTTGCTTAGCTGCTTTCCAGTAACATTGCCACACTGACCAAACAGGGTCTGACCTGAGCTTTCTGCAGCCAGTATGCCTTTTATCAGCTAAAGTTAACACCAAAAGAGATTAGCAGAAAAGCCTGATAAGACTGTTTTCTCTTCAGAGAGCTTCTAATGGTGTATGCAGATGGCAAGGTTTAAGGAATGAAACAATCACATACTGTACTTGGGCTAGTAACACACAACAGATTCCCCTCCACTTTGAGCTTTGCTGCCCCTTGCTTTCTTCAACTTAGCCACTCATAAGGTAAATTAAATTGCTTTTTCAGTTTTTATTTCAGCTTCAACCACTTTTTATTATTTACATCTGGTGGTCCCCCTATTTATGTCCCTTTCCACTTCCTTACAACACTCCTTTACTCACAAGGCTGCAATGCATTATGGTTCCTCACTCTCAGCAGGGCAACACGACACTGTCTTCAAACAAATAATTAAGGGGAAGGTTAAAGGGGTTCACCTAAAGGTCATACCTTTGGAAACTCCTCTGAATATATACATTAATTTTAAAAGGAGGGGGGTATCTTGTCAATTTTTAAAGGGAGTTTACACGACAATGCAGAATACTCAGTTAATTCATAATCCTTTGGTTTAAGAAATGCAAAACCAGCTTTTATGAACATGCACTATTAAAACCAAACTCTGTGTAGCAGCAATTAATTCAACAGGTCACAATGACCGACATTTTAGGAAGAATTTTAAAATCAAGTTCACTCCAATGAATACTCTAACAGCATTTAGGCATCGGGTTGTACACACACAGACACACACAGAGATAACCAGTTTAGAGCACTAGCACAAAATATATACGCCGAAGCTGCTAATTGATTCAACAGATATTTTGTGAGGAAACAGTGGAAGCCCTAGGTCAGTGGTTCTCAAATGTGGGCCAGGCCCTCCTGGGGAATGGGGTACAAGTCATCTGGAATGTGGGGGGCAGGGAAGACAAAGTTTCAGTGAAGGACATGATGCCACAGCAGACAGAACAAGAAGTGCTTCTCTTCAAACCACCACTAAAACTGCTACATTAACCATGGGAGATGCAGAGTCAGGGAGCATATAGAAGATTCTGATCAAAACAACTCCATCTGGATTGCTCGTACTGCTAGAGCAAGAAAATGCTGTCAGCTTACAGGTTCCAGTTTATACATATGGCAATAAGTCTGCACTTACCTATGAAAGAAAAAGCTGCAGAGCAATTGGGGATCTGGTAGGTAATAGCGCAGCTAGGTAATTTTTTTAGACCATACCCTTAATGGTCTTCTATGGCCCTTCTTAGATGGCCCAGTGTATTGCTCCAGTGAACCAACTAAAACCAGTACGATAAATTAAAACAGCCTTCCCCAACCTAGTGGCCTTCAGAGGCATTTGGACCACAACTCCCAAAATTTCCATCCACCAGGGCCATTGACTAGGAATTCTGGGTACAGCAGTCCAAACATGTCTGGAAGGCACAAGGTTAGGGAAGGCTGCTAAAACAACAGAATGATTTCCCAGTGCTGATATAAAAAACAAAATCTAGCATGTGCAGCTTAAATCATGGTCTCCATCATGAGTGCAGCAGTAGAAAGGAGTTTGCTTCTGCTGTCCCATGCATCCATCAGCTGCTGCCCTCTGGCTGATTCATCTGCCCCACCCCTCGCATGGACTGCAGGACCAGGACTCTAAGGACTAGCCCCAGCTACACCTCTGTTCTTATGAAGTATTACATCTGGAGAGCGGAGGGCCAGCTCAGAAATTTTGTTTACTCTGAACTTTCCAAAGAGCTTCAGCTATTAAGTGGAACAGAAATAAATAATCTGAACCCAATCACCGCATTCTACATTCCTTGCCTATTCCTTAGTTATGAAACCTCACATGATCAGGCTACATCCTTTCCCCAGTGTCATGTCTTGAAAATGTTTTAGAGTACAACTCCCAGCATTGCTGACTGAAGGTCATGGCTGCATGTGAGGAGGCAGAGGGGCTCACTCCTTTTCCTGGGGCCTTCCACAAAGCAGGGCCGAAGATGACAGGTCAAGGCTGGGAATCTGTGTGGGCAGAGCAACGTGCGAGAAGACAACAGCCAGGAGACACGGGCGAGCGCACAGCTGTACGGGATTGTGGACGGAGGCAGGAACAGCTGGGTTGGGTGAAGTGGTGCAGGAGAAGGGCGTATAAAGAGGAGGAGGAGGGGGGTGAGAGAGAGAGAGAGAGAGAGATGGAAGAGAGGAAAGAAAGCTGAAATGCACATGTGGTTGGAGGAGAGCTGGCGAGGCGGTCGCTAGCAGGTGGGCCAGCGCAAATGTAGTTTGCTACATTATCTCTTCAAAACTTGGGGCTCTAATAATGGGAAGGTGGTCTTACAGCGACACTGTGATCACAGTCTGCATCAGGTCACCTACACCATTCATTTCCATTGCAAAAAACGTATCCAGTTGCAATGTAAATTTCATGCATAAGGCTAAGGACCCCCCTACTCACCTGATCCATATTACACTTACTTCTGAGTAAAGTATGCGTCACATTGATCTGATCCTGTCTCATCATATGAAGCATCAGAGCCTTACTTCTTCTGAATTGTCCTATGCATATTTATTGTTGACATCAATAGGTGGAGGGATGGGTTAATCCATCCTTCCCAAGCATGATGCCACTAGATGGTGAGGGCTTAAGTCTAAAACATCTGGAGAATTCCAGGATGGGAATGCTGGTCTAAGATACTGACCTTTCAATTACAGAATATCATTTTTCATGGCAGTTATCTGTATGTTGATCCTTATTTGCCAAAAAGGTGGCACACACATTTGCTAAACAAGGGATGGGCAGCTGTAGGAAATCTGGGGACCTTCTCTGCTCCCTAGATCCCCTTCAAGGGTCACATCCCTCTATGAGTACAACACATATTTTTGTTAAATATTTAACAATGACATGTGTAAGGCTATGGGAATAGCAAAGGGCTCAAAATTAGTCATTGAAGAAATCAAATTCAGCCAACATATTCAAATTTAGCTTGCACATAAACTAATTTCAACCCTTTGGGAGCTCTGTAACTGCTTCATATGTCATTTAAAGGAATCCAGATTCTGTGAGATGAACATTATTTCCATTGCCGCTCTAAATAAATGGAAAACACTGCAGGAATGCAGGATCTGACAACACTGAATTGTCTTGTTGTTGTTGTTAGTCGTGAAGTCGTGTCGAACCCATCGCGACCCCATGGACAACATTCCTCCAGGCCTTCCTGTCCTCCACCATCCCCCAGAGTCCACTTAAGCTCACACCGACTACTTCAGTGACTCCATCTAGCCACCTCATCCTCTGCCA